AAAAAAAAAAAAAATCTGTCTTAAAAGCGGTCTTCAGCAAAGAAACCTCTCAAAAATCAATTTAATTTTATTATTTATTCCTCCCCAGATCATATAACATTTATCTAAAACGTTTTTACTTTTTGGCTCAGTTTTCAAGATATTTTGTTAGATTGTTTGAAATAAGGTGTTCTGTATAAAAATCATTCTATATATATTGCACTAATATTTTATTTATGAATATTTACCTTATTTGGTTTATCTAATAATAAAAAAATTAAATCAAATCGTGAGAGAATAGGTTGACTTATATGCAAATTTTCATTTAATGTTTTGCTTTTGTCATATTGGCCTCCAATAGGATTAGCCGCTGCCAGAATTGATATCCGTGCAGGAAGGGAACATATTACACCTGATTTTGCAACAGTAATGCTTTGTTGTTCCATTGATTCTAATAATGCCTGGAATAATATATGTAAAAATAATTTAGCCATTTATAAAGCTTTATACTGTATCAATATAATTAAAAAATGATTTATTAAAAATGTTAAAATTATTGAACGCTACAATTTCTATATTAATAACATTCATTTATTGTATATATTTTAGTATGTTTGCTATACAAGTATTGTAAACAATATCCATGTTACTTTACTTGATGCTGAGAGCACATTTTATCGAATTCATCAATGCAGCAGCAACCTTGATCTGCTAAAACTAAAGCACCAGGTTCTAAAGCAAAATCATTTGATCCCGTTTCTTTTGTAAGAGTTACTGTTAATCCAGAGGATGTACTTGAATTGCCACAGATGTATACACCTTTTAACAATATTTATATATTTTCATATAAAATATAAGTATTTTATATTCATAAAGAAGCTTAGAAAACTGCTAGTTTTCTCATGTATACCTTTTGCAGATATTCGAGCACAAGCTTGTAACATCTGCGATTTGCCAAGACCAGGATCTCCGACTAACAGAATATGTATATCGTCTCGTAATTGCGTACGTTTTGCATTACCTCCAAATAAACTCAATATCAATCCAGCTTTAACTATCTCATGGCCATATATATTAGGACATAACGAATGTACTAATAATGCAAAAAGATTTGATTTTTTATATATGTCCTATACGTAACAAAAAACAAATTATGTTAAAATGTAAAATTAGCTTCATCTTATATTTAATAGAAAAAAGTACCTGTATAGCTAAATAATTTTTTAAAGAAATTTCAGTGCTCATAGAACTTTTATTTTGATATCTATGCTTGTTATTAACAACCGTTATCGCTTTCATGTATAACGAAAATGGAGTTCCAACTTGTACTTTATTTGTACCATCATCGACTCCTAAAACCTAACATGTTATACAAATAATATTTCTTCTTTGTTTGTGTATTAAATACAGGGTTGCCACAGAAAATAAAATTTTAAAATTTCCTAACTTTTCCAGGTTTTCCAGATGAAAATGGAAAATTTTTCATGACCAATATCAAATATGTAAATTTTAACA